AATCCTGATCGACAGGATGACCAAGTGGGGTCTTTCGTTTGATGGAACAACGGATCCACTTGGATTCATAGAGCACATCGAGGAGCGTGCCGATACCTGCCGGATCGACCGGAGATATCTGGCTCAAGCCCTGGTGGTGCTGCTGGCCGGCCGAGACGAAAGTTGGTTCCGCACGAGCGGACTCCAGCAAGCCAGCAGGACCGAGGTCCGCCGAGAGTTCCTTGACTTCTTCTTGCCACCGCGATACTATCAGCGGCTGGAGGATGAGATAAGGATGCACTTTCAGAAGCCCAACGAGCCATTTAAGGAATACCTTATCGACATCCGTTTGCGGATGCGCCGGGCCGGATTCTCCTCGGACAAGGAGCTGGAGAGGATCTATGAAAATATGCTACCGGAGTATCAACTCTACACACCCGGAGGCAGGATTTCCGTACGCTGACCGAGCTAACGCATCTCGTGACCAACTACGAGGAGACACGCAGCCGAGGGCGGAAGAACGCTCGAGAACCGGATCCCGACTCAACGCCAGGCCACAGGAGCCAGCTACGCAGCAGACGGAGACAGGATGCCCACTCGACGAGCTCAACAGGCGCCCTCTTCAGGCAACGCCCTCAACGGTTCCCTTAGCCGGAACGCTTGCACCAGCCAGAGCGCGGTGGCACCACGACCAGAAGCCGTCAACGTTCGCGACGCCTGCCGGAACTGTGGCCAATCCGGGCACTTCGAAGCCGAATGCAGGAATCCACGGATCCTATTCTGTTGGGATTGCGGTCAACGAGGACGTAGGACGATCGACTGTTGCCGTCAGCCACCGTCGGGAAACGCGCAAGGGCCTCGTGTGACCGGGAATCACCCGAGGAACCCTCCGTATCCCCGAAGCCAATAGGAGACACTCTCCATCAGTACCAGGGACGCATCCGCGCTACCATCCACATGGAGGGGCAGCGGTTCACAGCTACCCTGGACACCGGAGCCACCCATAGCTTCATTAGCGAAGGGCTGGCTCAAACGCTGGACAACGGAAGGAACACACGGGACATCCGTACCCAGGTAAAACTCGCCGACGGAACATGCCGCGAGCTGACCCGAGCTCTGGCGGCAAATATCTACCTTGGGGAGTGAACGAACGCCCACCATTCTCCTTGTGATGTCGGACGCACTGGACGACATACTCCTAGGAATGGACTTCCTCTGTGGAATCGGAGCAACCCTGCTCCGCGGCGGGCAGACCCTCTGACTGCGACCGAACGACCAGCGAAGAACAACGCCAGAGCCACGCTCTGACCAGCGAAGACCAACAACAGAGCCACGCTCTGACCAGCGAAGACCAACGACAGAGCCACGCTCTGACCAGCGAAGACCAACGACAGAGCCACGCTCTGACCAGCGAAGGGAGCCACGCTCCAACCCACGGGACCAGCCCGCAGAGCCACGCTCTGACCAACGAAGAACGACGAGGGAGTCACACTCCAACCACGAAGAGCCACTAACGGCACATCACTCAGAGCCACGCTCTGATCAGCAAAGCACACCGACGTTGTCACACTCCCACCACGAAGAGCCATCCCCGGCACATCACTCAGAGCCACGCTCTGCCCAGCGAAGTACATCGACGGAGTCAAACTCCACCCACGCCGAGAAGCCACAGACGACAGCCCAAGGAGAGCCACGCTCTACCCATCGAGGGCAGCCATGGGAGCCATGCTCCGATCCCGAAGACCAGCCAAGCACCTCACCTCGAGCACAGTTCCGAGATACAGTTCCGAGACAGGCTTTGCCCGTGGCAGATGCCACAGCCGCGCAACGGAACCCTTTCCGTACCTCCACAAAACGTGTCCGCTTCCAGGATCACGTCGAGGAAACGCCGGAGCCGAGCCCGCCCCTATGCGGAACCGTCAATTCGGTGAGTCATCCCACAGAGGATCAGGTCTCTTTCCAGACAGAGGAACCCGAGACGCCGGATTACCCCGAGCCTTGGGTGAAGGAGTTCCTGGACCAGGAACTGGCCAAATTGGATACTCTTTCAGGGGTATCACACATCGCAGAGCATCGCATCTTCATGCGCACCGATCGACCCCTTAAACAGCGGTACTTTCCAAGGAATCCAGCCATGAGGGCCGTCATTGACAAGCAGATCAATGAACTCCTCCGAGACGGACGCATTGAACCTTCCAAAAGCCCGCACAGCGCGCCCATCGTAATCGCGGCCAAGAAGAATGGCGAAGTCCGCATGTGCGTGGACTACCGCCAGCTCAATGAGAACTCCGTGCCGGACGCGTATCCGCTTCCGAGGATCCATCAGATCTTGGAGCGACTCCGGAACGCGAAATTCATCTCGACGTTGGACCTTAAAAATGGGTATTGGCAAATCCCAGTGGCCCCGGACAGTCGGGAGTGCACGGCGTTTACCGTTCCCCGGAAGAGGGTTGTTCCATTGGAGAGTCATGCCTTTCGGACTTCACTCCGCTCCCGCCACGTTTCAACGCGCCTTAGACACGGTCATCGGTCCGGATATGGAACCCCATGCGTTTGCATATCTGGATGACATCATTGTCATCGGTTCCACACTGGAGGAGCATGTCGCCAATCTTGGAGAAGTTTTCAGACGCCTCCGCTGCGCAAACCTGCGCCTCAACAGAGGGAAGTGTCACTTCTTCCAGCGCCGCATCGTGTACTTGGGTCACGTGATCAGCGAAGCCGGAATTCACACGGATCCGTACAAGGTCGCTGCGATCCGAGGACTCGCACCGCCGACAAACCTGAAGGAGCTACGCAGGTGCCTGGGAATCGCTTCCTGGTATCGCCGCTTCGTGCCGAACTTCGCCGATGTTGTGGCACCCATGACATCGCTGCTGAAGAAGGGCCACAAGTGGGAATGGACCCAAAGACAAGACCAGGCCTTCCAGGAGCTGAAGACGCTGCTGACCGAAGCCCCTATTCTAGCTTGCCCAGATTTTGCAGAGAAGTTTGTGCTACAAACTGACGCCAGTGACTACGGAATCGGAGCCGTACTCACGCAGACCATCGATGGAAACGAGAGGGTGATAGCGTACGCCAGCCGCCGGCTCAACACTGCTGAGAGGAACTACTCAGTGACTGAGAAGGAGTGTCTCGCCATCGTCTGGGCGATTCGGAAGATGCGGTGTTACATCGAAGGATACCGCTTCGAAGTCCTCACAGACCACCACTCCTTGAAGTGGTTGAACTCCATCGACAATCCAACAGGCAGGATTGCCCGTTGGGCGTTGGAGTTGCAACAATATCAGTATGATGTCCATTACCGGAAGGGGGCCCAGAACTTGGTGGCCGATGCCCTTTCTCGCCAACCGCTGCCCATAGTGCAGCAAGCGGATGCTCCAGAGGATTCGAACCGAACCAGCAAAGTTTCCGGATTATCGAGAGGAGAATGGCCAGCTATATCGCCGCCTTGGACTCCGTCCGGAGGAGGAGGAGTACACGCCCTGGAAGCTGTGCGTAGGATCAGACTATCGCCAGCGAGTACTCGAAGAGTGCCACGATCACCCCACTGCCGGTCATCTAGGAGTCCGGAAAACCAGCACTCGCGTGGCCCAGCGCTATTACTGGCCTGGATTGTTCCGCGAGGTGGCTCGGTACGTTCGCCGTTGCCCCACTTGCCAGCGATATAAGGTGAGCCAAGAAAAGCCCGCAGGTCAAATGTTTACTCGACAGGTCGAGGAGCCGTTCCACATCCTATGCGCAGATTTCGTCGGCCCACTGCCGCGGTCGAAACAGGGCAACACGATGCTGCTAGTATTCCTGGACGCCTTCAGCAAGTGGGTGGAGCTAGTGCCACTTCGCAAAGCTACCGCCACACATCTGGAACGAGCCTTCAGAGAGCGGATATTGAGCCGATTCGGTGTTCCCCGAACATTTGTCTGCGACAACGGTACGCAGTTCACCGGCCGCTCATTCCAGAAGTTCTGCCAGTCGCTAGGGATGGAGCTGCAGCACACGGCGCCCTACACTCCGAGGCAGAATCCTACGGAAAGGGCAAATCGAACAATCAAGACGATGATCGCCCAATACTTAGATGGAGGCCAGCAGAACGAGTGGGATCAACTCCTGCCGGAGATATCTTTGGCCATAAATAGTAGTGTCTCGGACACTACCGGATTCAGCCCCGCATTCTTGGTACAAGGCCGAGAACCGCGACTCCCGAAGACGTTGTACGACGAAGTTACCCCCCGGACGAGGCACCCCAGAGGTTTCCCCGACAGAGCGAAGCGAACAACTCCCGGAACATCTTCGACGTCGTCCGAAATAACGCTGACCGCGCCGCCGCCGAGCAGAGCCGTCACTACAACCTACGCCGGAGGACGTGGAGGCCACCAGTTGGATCCATGGTCCTAGTACGCCGACACGCCTTATCCAACGCAGCCGAGGGCTTCGCCGCGAAGCTAGCAGCGAAGTACGAAGGACCCTTCAGGGTAGCGAAATTCCCATCGCCGAACATTGTGCAACTGCACATGCCAGGAAGCCGACGCCGGCGGACCGCCAGCCTGAACCAGCTGAAGCCGTACCACCACGAGGATGAGGCAGACACCGAAGCCGGAACCCACCGGGAAGACACCGACGCCGGAGATACCACAATCGAGGATGCCGACGACACCATTCTGGTCGCACAGCCAGCAGTCAAGACCGCACGGCGCAGGGGACCCATCCCGCGCTGCCAACACATGTAGGGGGATGACCATGTTTCACAGGGGCCACTTGTTGAAAGGCGCGCCTGTCCAACGTCCCGAACCCCCTAGTGGGGTGAACATGCGTCTCTTTCCAAAAGCCGTAGTCGTAGCCAACCCTAGCCCACTCCATTAGGTAGGGCCCAGGGCAACACACTAATACACAATCTCCTCTGTCCTTACAGCAACAGCCTTCAGCCCGCCTACCAAGAGGCATAACGAGCCACGCTCCCCGCAGGCAAAGCACGCCTGAACCACTGCCACAGATTTCCGCCAACACCGACGCCAGCCTACAGTATGGACGGACAAGGCCATCCGCCGACTCCCGCCCCGGCGCCACAGGACAACTCATGGATGTGCTGTGTGGTCGACGAGCTCCGTCAAGCACTCCAAGGCGCCGGGCCAAGCCCGCCGCGTCCCAGCGACAGCCTCTTCGCCCATAGCGCCGGCCTCTTCCGACCACGGGCTCTACCCGTCGACGCCACCATCAACGCCGACAACGGGGAGGAGACGACCGCCGGCAACCACGCCGGGCTCCGTCGGCCCTCGACCGAGGGGATGCCACCCCTGGTACCCCTGTTCGCCGGCCTCGTCCGGGCCACGTCGGGCCCCTCCGGAAGTCGTTCTCCGCGACGATGACGAGGAGGAGGCCCACCAGGGCGACGACGCTGGACCCCACCCAGCACCCTTAAGGGGCATGGTGGAGGACACACTGGGCGACCTCTTCGACAGCCCACCGCACGCGGAGCCGCCGGCAACAGGCGTCTCTCGGACCTCTGGGCGCGGCATACGATTTGGTCTCCGACGACGAGGGCCGTGATAACCACACGCGTAGTCACTACGACCCAACCGGCGATAACGGCGACGACAGCGACGCGACCGTCCTGTACGACCCCACCGCGGAGGACAGCCGTGACATACGGAGGAGGCGCACCACACCGCCGCACCCGAGCGACAACCGGGCCCCGCCGTACATGGGCGAGGTAGAAGCCGCCTTAATCGAATGCTTCGGGGAAATCCCGGTGGACGTGTTCGACTGGGGAAGCGGCACCAACACGGCGTCAACCATCTCGGCCGACGACGACGAGGCCAGCCGGGATGGCCGCCAGTCAGACGCCTCGCGACCACCTTCCACCGGACCCGCCGATGACGCATCGGCATCGACAGTCTCGGCCGACGAGGACGAGACTAGCCAAGACAGTGGCTGGTCCAACGCCCCGCGATCGCCGCCCCCACGCTGGACTCCACCCAGCACCACACCGCTACAAAGCTGGGCCCCAGCCACTGCCAGTCGCAGCCGACCCCCTCCGCCCTCCTACGAGGAAATATTTGGCTTGAGACCATACCCCGGTCCTCACGCTACCGCCCGATGCGCCGCGGTGGCCGCCAGTCGTGATCCTCGACCCCGCCTGCCCACCATTGCGGAGCTGGCCGCAGAAGAGGCGCGCCGAAGGGCGGAGGACCTCAGCGAGGAGCTCGGCATCCCGCAGATGGCCCAGTTGCCAGTCGGCAACCCACCGGTTGCCCAACCGCCGTCGAATGGCCCACCACCATCACCGACCCCACGCCGCCGAGCCCGGCGCCGGAGCGCACCATGGGCAGACAGCCCGCCCAGCTCGTCCGACGAGTCATCATTGGACGCCGACGAGGGAGCCCTCGGCCCTCCCCGCTGGGTACCGGCCCCAGTGGAGTGGACCACGCCCAACGGCACATTGCCAGCCGCCTTGCTCCGCCGGATTCACGGGCGCCTGGCGACGCCAAGACGACGGACAATCCGGATTCTGGAGGAGGAGGCGAATCAACGCTTCCGCGTCCAGATTAACCGCAGCGGGAAAGTGATCATCACTCTCCACCCCTCCCGAAGATAGGGTGGAGTGTGACGATGTCACAACACCCTATCATGTAAATTATGTACATATTAGTTAAGTTTATAGTTAAGTTAGTAATTAGTATAGGGAAATAAGTTAGGATTAGCCATACCACACACCACACACACAACTGCACATTTAAGCGGGCATGAAGCCCAAAGTTAATTTGCCCAAGGAGGGCCAAATTAGATTTTGAGTAAGGCCGCAACGCACAGGCGTATACATTTTTTCAACACGGACTATAGCGACCGCGCTAAAGACGTTTCCCCTCTCCGCTGCCGACGCGAACAGCGGCAGAGGCAGCGACATTTCCCCTCCGACGATCGTGCGTGTTTACGTTTTGGTCGTGCTTATTTACATGCCGATCAAAACATAAACAATAACAATAACAAAGCCGACGGCCGAAAGCTGCGCTGCCCGACATTTTGGCAGAGACGAGGCGACAAGGGCTTTGCAAGCTGCAACCGCGATCACTTCTCCGACAACTGCGAACGTGAACGATTGAACTTAGTCCCCGCGACTCGAAATTATCCAAACCGACGGCTAAGTCCAAAAGGACCCGCGTGTGTTAACTTACATCCTGGCTGCCGGGCACGTGTCCCAGCCGACTGATAACATCAGGTGAGCCGGCCGAGTGCCATGTAAGGGCAGATCCTTGGAGTGTGGCGTAGGGCCAGGTTAGGGACGACAGGCGTAGATTAGAAAAATGTAGACATAATAATTAAGTAATAAAATAAAGTACCAAAAATGAATTCGGAAATTCCATCGTCTTTCTCCCTCGCACCCGCATAAAACTCCGCGTAGCAACAACCAACCCTTATTTTGACGCGTGCCAAAGTGTTCCCCTCCCGCTCACTCACTCGCCGAGCTGGTGGCTGGGTTATCCCGCACCAACTCCGCGTGGTCGCTGGGCAAGCTCCGGGCCGGAGAAGCGGGACGGGAGCGGGATTTGTCGCCGCTGGGTTCTCCCGGGCACAGATCTGGCGTAGGGCATCGGGGCTGCTGGGTTTTTCCCGAGCTACGAGCTCCTCGCCGCCGGCACGTGTTTCCAAGTTTTTCCCTTTTCCCTCTCCTTTTCCCTTCCGATCTGCATTTTGCCCGCCATCGCCGCTGGGTCATCCCGGGCGGCGGAGATTTTGCCGATCGGAAGAGTCGCCGCTGCTGGGCAACCGGGCAGGCGCCGGAAACGGAGGAGCACCTGGCCATCGCCAGGGTGATCGCGCGTTTTAGGTTTCCCCTTCCCTCTCCCTTTCCCTTCCGATCTGCATTTTGCCCGCCATCGCCGCTGGGTCATCCCGGGGGTCGGAGATTTTGCCGATCGAAAGAGTCGCCGCTGCTGGGCAACCGAGCGGGCGCAGGAAAACGGAGGAGCACCTGGCCATCGCCAGGGTGACCGTCCAAGATTCCCATTTTCCCGAAGCCAGAGTTCCCCTTTTTAAAACGAGCCCCTTTTCGCTGCCATTTTTCCCCTAGAAAGTTCAATAAAAATTCGGCGTCCATGTCCTGGCCGTCTCTAAAAATATAAATATTTCTGGAGAGGAATCCTGGGCCGCTGAGGTTTACCCCGGCCTAAGACACATCCTTACAACCTCCTTGATCAAACCCTTTGGGATCCATAATTTCCAAATAAACTGGTCATGCAGGGATTCTCCCGTGGCATGTTCCGTCTTTTTATGGACTAAATCCCCCAATATTTTCATATCCGGTAATTTATCCGCATTTGCCTTTATTTTTTTAATAGCTCTAAATATTCTGGAGATTTAAACTCGTCAGCATCCGTGTCCACCACCCAACCCATGCCTTGCATCTAATGCCGCTAGACATTCCTCGTTGACCCGGGATAATGCATCCGGCACTACGTTTAATTTCCCGCTGCGATGCTCGATCTTGAAATTAAATCCCTGCAGCTTCAGAGCCCATCGAGCTAGACGAGAATGCAGGTCTGTTTGGGTCATCAGCCACTTTAGGGATGCATGATCCGTAATGACCGTGAATTCGTGGCCTTCTATATATGCCCTAAACCGATTGATGCACACGATTGCCGCCAAACATTCCTGCTCTGTCACTGAATAGTTACGTTGGGCTTTATTTAACTTCTTCGGAGACGAACGCAATTGGGAACTCATCGCCTTCAGCGGTTTTTTGAACTCCGACCCTCCGACTCCAGTCTTGCTAGCGTCACACTGAACAAAAAACGGTTTAGCAAAATCTGGACTACGGAGAACAGGTGCTGAACATAGCCTTGTCTTTAAATTTTTAAACGCCTGCCTCCCTTCGGGTGTCATCGCAAACTTTTGCCTTGGCTTTAGGAGATCTGTTAGTGGTGCCGGTACTGACGCGAAGTTGTGGATAAACTTCCGATACCAGCCAACCATGCCTAAAAATCTTCTAAGACTCTTCAGTGAATTTGGCAATGGAAAATCGGCCATGGCAGATATTTTTCGGGATCCGTCCCCTTTATTACGCCCTCTCCTACGATGTGTCCTAGATATCTCACGGATCGCATACAGAACTTGCTTTTTCTACATTTAGGGTTAGTCCTGCAGCTCTCACGTGTCCGGCAACAATTTCTAGCACCCTTAGATGAGACTCAAAACTATCTGAAACGACCAGCAGATCGTCCAGATACACAAAAACCCTCATTGCGAAGTTCTGCTGGAATGACCTTATCCATCAGGCGCGTCATGGTTTGCGAAGCGTTTATGTAAGCCCGAATGGCATGACCTTATACTGGTAAAGAGGCTTTCCGGAATGGTGAATGCCGTTTTATCTCGTGAGCCAGGATCCAGTGGCAATTGCCAGTAGGCATCTTTGAGGTCGAGACTCGAAATAAACATTGCCTTTTGGCAATCGGCCCAGAATGCCATCAATCTGCGGCAGCGGATATGCATCCTTCCTTGTGACCTCGTTCACCTTCCTGCTATCTAAGCAAAGGCGGATCTTGCCTAGGCTTTTTGGACCAGTACCACCGGTGATGACCAGGCACTATCCGACTCCTCAATAACCCCAAGCTTAAGCATCCTGTCTATTTCAGCATACAAAAGCTTCTCTATGGCTGGTGACACCGGAAAATGGCGCTGTTTTACAGGCTTTGCATCTCCAACATCTATCGTGTGAGACAATAGCGAAGTTTGCCCTAAACCTGACACGGCAAAGATGGAAATTTGCCTACCACTTTTGTAAGTCGTCACGCTGCTGAGCAGAAAGTATATGTGTTGCAGCTAAAATTTCAGATATCTGCATTTCCGGTGGCAGTAAATCAAACTTGGCCTAAAAATCTATGCCTAAATACAAATCTTGATTGAGAGACGGGATCAGATGAAATTCTAACTCTATTTCCTTATCTTTATACTTAACAAGAGTCTTTAATTTACCAACTACTTCTTGGTTTCTCCCATCCGCCGTGCTAACTGAGGATGAACCTCTTTTAAACGCAAGTCGGCTTTTGATGACTTGTCGCGCTAAATCTCCGCCTATGACGTTCACTGCCGCCCCTGTATCTAATAAGCCCGTTATTAATCGATTCAAAATCCAAACTTCCGCGTAAGGACGATTGTCTCTGTCTTTATAACGAATGGTATTAATGGTCTTCAAGGCTGACCAATAACTTCTCTTTCTTTTTCGTCTTCCTGGAGTTAGATTTCTGACGTCTAATACAGTCATTTATTTTTGAATCGATCGCCTTCGGCCAAACAGATTCTGGATCGAAACTGACCTTGGGGTCTGGAGAACTAAGCTTGTCCTTTAAGACTGGGGAAACTGAAATTTTTCTATCTTCCTCGGGAGTCGTCGGGCGCTGGCGTTGGGCACACGGCTGACGAGGCTGCGTGCTCCCTTGAAGTTTTTTAAGCACTTGATGCATGAAGGTTTATAGGTGTTTGGCTTGCCACAGCCATAACAGAAAATCCTTCCTTATTCCTTCGCAGTCTTGATAGCGATGGCCTTCCTTGTGGCAATTCCAGCACAGTAAGGCTAGTGCCCCAATTTCCACCTCGCCTTCGCAATCCGAAAATTCGGAAGCCTCGTCGGGCAATGGCTCCAGCAGCTCGGCTACCTGTTTTCGGAAAGGTGTGACCTTCTGATAGGTATGATTGCGCCTGACATCATCCAGAAAACTCTCCCTTCGTCTACAGATTTCCCTAAGCTGTCCGACTGGAATTGATTTTAATGTTGAGCAGCTCGTGGCGGATTTCCAGACGCAAGTTCCTACGGGAGAATCTCTACGGTTGACTCTTCCGAAAGAGGTACTTCCAAACTGTCCATTAGCGACACTATGGCCTCATAAAAGACATCGAAGCTTTCTTTGTCCTTTTGCTTCCTGTCACGCATTGCCTCCCTAATATCGACATCAGTTCTCGTATCCCTATATTGTTTCCGCAGGGCCTGACAGAGAGAATCCCAACGAACAACGGGGGCCGTCTTGTGGGAATCGCCAGTAAAATCTCTGGCTTCCCATCGAATAAAAGGCTAGCATTTCCACACTACAGAGAAAAGTTTCTCTCCAAAGTCTGATGAGTCAACGCCTCAACCCGGTAAATGAAGTTGTCGATGCTTATGCCCTCAGAACTACCACTAAATCTGATCTTCCAACTGTTAAGAATATGGCCAACTTTATATGGTCGGTTGACCAGGTCCGAGTGATTGCTCCTTGGTGTATCGCGGCTCGAGCCTGCTTGGGCACTCCACTGATCCAAACCTGCATCCCCAGAGAGTAACTCCTTCCCATTTCCCTTTCTCGACCTCCTCCTGATGCGGTCTGAAATGGGCAGACAGATTCGTCTGAATTAATTGGGACATTTTCTCGGACAGCTGCGCGAGTAGCTCGCTTTGCATAGACTGAACCGCATTGACCACTACGTTTTGGATCAGTTCTGTTTGGGCCCTTCCTAACCCTGCTGCATTTGAAGAAACACTCTGGCGCCTGCTCGCTTGCTACCGATGCGGCTTTCTGGCTCCTGGTGTTCTGAGCTGGTGCGGTTGCCTTTTCAAAGCACACTGCG